TCCTGGTCCTCCTTTTGTTTCCATGGCAGCACAAAGGATAACGCTGCTGCAGCTGCCAGCTGCTGCTGGGAGAGAGATTAGGGCTTTGACCTAAATATCTGTTTAATGCAGGTCTCAGTTACAGGGGAAGGTTTTTCAGATGTCAGAGATCCGCGGGGTCTGATGAGTTTGGGCTCAAAGATGCTGAGCTTAGAGCTGTTTTCCCATTTGGAATTAGCAAGTGAGAGAGAAATCTGTCCAATATCAAATATCTACGTTGGAACTGTGGGATTTTATCCATCCTGACAGCCTTGGGAGGGAGGGGGGGAGCCTTAAACTGCCCCAGTCCCTCCGCCTTCAGGACTGTGGTTGAGTTGCTCCGTGGCAGTTTTTGTGACTTCTCTGCAGTGTGTGTGTGTTAATGCTCTTAACCAAGGGTAAACAAAGTGCTGGGATGTGATTCCCAGAGCCTGGCTGGGGTTCCCACCCGGAGCTGGGATTGGGAGGAGGGCTGGGAGGGGACAGGGCCACCCTGCAACGCTGCTTTTTGCTTAAACTGCCTTGGAATTATAAACGACAGCTGCAATTCAGGAAAGGAAAAAAAAATAAAGGGACTGTTAGGAATTACTGCTGCAAGTACCCATCTCCCAACTGGCATACGGTGGGAAGCCAGATAATCCATAATTCCATCAAACTGAGTAAGGAAGGGGAAAAAAACCCTTAAATTATCCTGATGCTGCTGAATTGGTTTTCTAAGTGTTTTGTTTATTATTGCTTTGTAGCCGTTGATTGGTGTAATAGAAAATATAAGCAGAGAGAACCCAAATGATAAACTGTTTGGGTTTTTTTGTTTGGTTGTTTTGGTTTTTTTGTTTGGTTTGTTTTTTTTTTTTTTTTCTGAGATAAATGAGAAAATTCATAGAATCCCAGAATGGTTTTTTGGGTTGGAAGGGACCTTAAAGCTCATCCCATTCCACGCCCTGCCAAGGGCAGGGACACCTTCCACTGGACCAGCTTGCTCAGAGCCCCATATGAGATAAAAAAAAGGGCCTTTTGGACCGTGACACACACTTCCAAATGATATTTTATGCAAAGCTTAGAAATAAACACGTCAGGATGTTTTTCTGCTGTTTTCTGTCGGAACTGAGTCGGTGCTTTGACTTGAAGTGAGGGGGGGCAGGGTTGGGAGGATGTGTTGTGAGATTACCCCTCCTGAAGAATGCATGTTTGAGGACTATCACAAGCCTCAACCCCAAAAAAGCTGCATATTTCCCCTCTTTGCTAAGAAAATTAGCACAGGAGCTTTGGGAGGTATGTCCTGAAAGGGCTGCTTTGATACAGCTCCAAGAAAGACATGTGTGGCCTCTTGTGCATCCTCGTGGGCAAGTGGGAGCTTGTAGGAATATTTTCTGTAGCTTTTCACTCTCAAGGTTTTTATTTCAAAGTCAGAAGTAACTCTAAATACTGCTTGTGGTGCAGAAATTATTGAAGGGGTAGCAGGGCGTGATGGGGCTGATGGTACTTTTTTAACTTCATTCATGTGTTTTTGAGGGCTCCTGTTGGTAGCAAAAAGGATCTTTTGCTGAGTGTTTCCAGAGAAATCCCATGGCTTTTCTATTTTTTATTTATTTATAGCTTTTCCTCATTTAAAAGGACAGCAAAGGAATGTTGGGATTGCCTGAGGGAAGCTCTTGCTAAGAAGCTTTCCAAGAATCGTGGAAGATTTCAGTCTTTTCATGTTGCCCTGCAGAGACATCTGCCCGCCCTTCCCTCATCCCTCCTTTCGGTCAGGTTTGCCATTGGGTTTTCATCTGGATCACAGAAAGCTGTGAGAGATTTTTTGGGAGGGGGGGGGGAAAGGGCAAAACAAGGTTAGTGGCACAAGGGCTGGTTGGTGGTGGAGAGGCTGCTGTGCTGGCACTGCCCACGGTGGCTGCTGGGATAGTTTTGAGGCAGCTTAGGCTCTCCTGAAATATTAATCATCAGGCAGACTTTATTGGCTTGTGTTGTGGGGATTTTTTGAGCAGAGGGACCCAAAGGAATGGAGAGGGTGAAGTGAATCTAATTGGCCCCAGTTAAAACTGTTGACTCTGAGGTCTGATTTAGCTGCCTTGCTGCAGTTGCCCATGGCAGGAAATTGAGTTGATTTAGGAGAGGATTTCCAACCTTAAAATTCAAGGATAGGATGAATCAGACTGCTGGACACTGAGGCAGGCTCTGCCTGTGGTTGTTTCCATAAAGGCTGTGAAACTGCTCCAGTTTTCATGTGTGGCTTCGCTCCCCTCTTCAAATTAATGATGGATGGTTGGGTTGACCTGGAAGTGTCCAAGGCCAGGTTGGATGGGGCTTGGAGCAACCTGTGCTGGTGGAGGTGTCCCTACCCATGGCAGGGGGTGGAATGAGATGAACTTAAAGGTCCCTTCCACCCCAAACCATCCTGGGATTCGTGGGGAACCAAAATGCAGCGTACACATCTCATTCTTAGCACTGGAACTGAGATAGAAGGTTCCTCTGGGTGGAGCTGAGTTGCTAAACTGAGGTTTTAAAATAGCCAAGGATCTTGCTGGAGCTTGTGCTTTTTAGTGCAGTGATGTGGAAGTGGAACTGAGAAACTCTGAATGTGGTGGTGGAAATGAAAAAAAAAAAAAAAAAAAAAAAACAAAAAACAACAAAACCAACCAAGATCGTGTTGGGGAAAAGCAAACTGGGCAAAGAAAATGCACTTTAAATGGTCTTGGTGCCTGCTTTAAATAGACACGAGTGACACCGTGGGCGTGTGGGGCTTTTGATCACTGGTGCAGAAGCTAAATGAGCAGCAGCACATGCAAACTGTGATTAATTATTGACAGAAGCCACTCCTTTCATATGTGCAGTCTGTGGTGAGACGTGAAGGTTGAGTTCACTTGAATTCCGGAGTCGGGCGGTAATGCAAACAGTCAACTTCATACATGTGGTTCTGTTTATTATGCAAATCTCTTCCAATGTGTTTAAATCCACATGTGGTGGTTGGGGGGGGGGGTTTGGTGCTTCAGCAGGGGGATTTTTGTGCACTTCACGACAGGGGCTTTGCCTGCTCCGGTGTGATGGATCCAGTGTTTGGGTTGTGCTGCAGCTGTAAGTTAATTTCCTTTATTTAGGAGGAAAAGGCAAATCCCTGGGCTTGTTTGTGATGTTCTGTCTGTAAGTATTTGACCTCTTCACCTGAACTTCCGTGGGTCTCGGGATTAATTTGGAATAAATCAATCATTCCTGAGGAATTCCCTCTGGGAGCTGACTTGGTCAGTGGGTGGTTCGCTCTCCATCCCAGTGATGGCACACAAACCTCGCCGTGTTTCCTTGCCTCTCTTCCCTGAGCTGTGCTTTGGGAAGGTACACATCTTCCAGAATAATATTTGAAGTTTTGTTTTGAAGTGTCAGGAATATCTCCTGATGCTCTTGTGTTACCCTTGTGCATCTGCCCTTTGACTGGGGAGACGTTTCTGCGCTTCTCCGAGCTGGTGGCAGCGATATCTGCCATCTATTTGGAATTTTCTCTGGTGGTGAAATCCAGTGCTGATTTTTTTTATCTGAGCCTTTTGGTTTTCCTTCTCCCACCAGTGGGTGTGTGTGGGAGGCAGCTCCGATCTGGAATCCACCAAAATGCTGGTTATTTCCCCCCGTGTTTCCATAAAAACACACACGTCCCGTTGTACACGCAGGCGTCGATTCACAACCGAAATACAAAGCCCTGTGTTGAATAAAACTGGGCAAGGCTTCCAAATTCCTGGCTGATGGGTCTTTTGGAAGCAAAAGTAATTTATTTATTAATATAGAGATAGAATGGAAAACACAGGTTTGCCTTGGGAATGTTTTCAGTTGGTCACTGGGAAAGCTTGGACGGTCTCTCGAGTTAGTGAGGGTAGGGGGTTGCCTCCAGATTCTTTGTTCTCCAGATCAGAAGATCCAAGTGCAAGAGCCTTTTCCCTCAGCTGGAGGGGGAGCAGTGGCATTAGGAATTGTTTGGAATGCCAGGACACTCTGTGCTGTTCGATTCCTGTACAGCTGGGACTGTCCTGCTCGACAGGAGCATGCTGTGCGTGTGGCACAGACCCTCAGCTGGTTTGCCTGGCTCTTGGAGAGGGGGGCTTTGATCGATATTCAGATTGGATTTGTATCAGAAACACCACACTCTGTGTGCTTACAGCTGACCAGACCCTTGTGGAAGGGACAAAATGATGTTTGGAGCTGGAGAAGTAGAGCCTTATTTCTGTCCTTGCCTGTGGGGTTGCTGGTGAGGCCGGACCTGGGTGCAGCCCTAAGGAATTGATTTCTCTCGGGAGCGGTGATTAACTTAATTCGCCGTTCTTCGAGAAATCAACCCCTGCCCCCAGGAGTTTTGATGGAATTTTAAAGTAAATGGCTCTGTGGTTGATTTCTGCCTGGGCTGTGCTACAGAAAAATAGCCTTTTTTTTTTTTTGACTGAAGAGATGTTTTTCCCCTCCCTGGGCAGGGATGTTCCCAGGAATTCTGGTGGCTGCAGTTGTTGACGCCGGGTGTGATGACGGGCAGTAGAAAATAACACGTTTTAGAACCAGCAGATTTTCTCATTTACCTGTGGGGAGGAATCACTGCTGATGGTGGCAGCTGCAGTTGTGGAGTTGTTTAGTGTGACAACGAGTCCAAGGCTTTTCCTGCAGGGAAGGAACACGTCGAGGTGGACGGGGAATTGGTTTGACCATGGATACACTGGAAGAGTCCTCGCAGAACCCTGAAGGCCTGGGGGTGGTTTGGGCTTGCTAATGCGAGGGCAGATGAGGCAGGTGGACTCCCTACTGAGGGCAGATCTGTGTGGAACGGGCACTTGTGGGATTATGGGTTTTTTGGTATGTTTTATACAAACCCCTGGTGTTTGTCAAGGTGGGCTGTCAGTCTCCTGAGATCAGGGTGGATTTTGGTCAGCCAGAGCCCTGGCATGAAACTGTGTGCAGCAGACCATTAAATGTCATTATCCTGACGTTGGGAATGTTCTCCTCTTTCACAGATGCCTTTGTAAATAGCCAGGAATGGACACTGAGCCGATCCGTGCCGGAGCTGAAAGTGGTGAGTTTCTGTTTACTTCTGGCTTGGAAAACATCCTGAAAATGTTACACACAAGTGTGAATCTTCCACACTTCATTAAATCTACTGTTGGGGAAAAAAAAAAAAAAAACAAACATAGAAAGGAATTTTAATCAGTAAAGCATTTTTCTTCTGCACAAATATGATAGAATCCCAGGATGCTTTGGGTTGGAAGGGACCTTAAAAGCCATCTCATTCCACCCCCTGCCATGGGCAGGGACACCTTCCACCAGCCCAGTGTGCTCCAAACCCTGTCCAACCTGGCCTTGGACACTTCCAGGGAGGGGACTGTCTCTATGTATCTTCAGTTTTTATAGTTATACTTCAAAGATACCTTTTTTTTTTTATTGCTGTTGCAATAAAGCAGCTCCCGAGGGAGGTCTGACACGTCTGTAAGAAGGGGGTGGAAGTTTGAAGCTGATATATAAAGGTCCTTCTATCTCACCATAATAATTTTTCATCGTTTTTTCAAGGGCCAAATGTCTTTTTCCCCCCTCTCTTAAAAGACTTCACCTGAATTGATACTGAATTTAAAAACAATGTATTCTGAAGGTTCATTTAGTGAATCAGAACCTAGATTTTAGTGTAACAGTGAGCAGTGATGTAATAGGCTGCATCACAGGAGTGCTTGTCTTGGGTGTTTTGCCCCTGTGGTGTTTGAACCAGGGGTAGGAGAACAAATTTGAGCTGCAGAGAATGGATCAGCAAGCGGTCAGCATGCCCTGGGTGGCTGTCCGGGGGTGGAAGCAGAACTCTGACCGTTACCAAAAGGAATAATTGGATTAGAGCAGTGCATGTTGTGGATTCCAGCAGCACCAGCTGTGCCTGTGAGCTTGTGCTCCAGCAGGGAGGGTGGATTGGGAACCCCAGCTGGAATGTGCTCTGCCCTTGCTGCACGTCTGCCCTCGGGGAGCAGTCGTGGCTGTGGGTCCATCTCTGGGTCGTTCCCTTCCTGCCAGCCTCGTCCTCGGAGCTCAGGGATGGCTGAGGATGGAAAGGGCCATGGGAAAAGCAAACCTGCAGGTGTGGGGATCAGGGTTAGGAGGGAGCCCCAGCTTTGTCCTGTGGAGCAGGATGTGGGGGGAATAGCTCCCTGGGACAGGTTGTCCTCTCTGCAGAGAGGCCCTTCGAGTTGAGGGGTTTGGTTGATTTTTATTTTTGATTTATTTTACGGTGGCTGTTGTTGTACACTTTGGGCTCTGCAGAATTTCAAAGGGAATAGAAACTGCTCTGGGAGAGCAGGGGAAGCACCCAGGGCTGCAATAAGGGAAGGATTGTATTTCAACACGTCTTTGAGGGAAGAACACCAGCCTTGGCCTCCTGTTTTAGCAACACACTCGGGGCTTGGTTTCTTTCCAGCGTTCAGAAGGATTTTCAAGGCCAGGTTGGACGGGGATTGGAGCAACCTGGGCTGGTGGAAGGTGTCCCTGCCCGTGGCAGGGGGTGGCACTGGGTGGGCTTTAAGGTCCCTTCCAACCCAAACCATCCTGGGATTCTGGGATTGGTTTGTGCTGAGCAAATACTTCCATGGAGTTTTCCCTGAGGGTTTTGGTGGCTTCTCTGATGGTCGAGAGCGTGGTGAGACCTTTGGTATTCCTGGATCCCAGGAATCCAAATGTAAAATAAGGAAATGCTAAGCGGAATAAATATGAGGGGCCTTTTTTTGGGTAAAATCACTTGAAGTCTTGCAAAAAAAAAAATACACAAAGTGCAGTCAGGGCAGCTTTAAAATGCCGAGTGCCATCAGTACATTTAAGCATTTTCCCCGACAGGCTTTAGTAGGATTGTGGGCAAATTGGTTTGGCTTCGTTTTACAGCGTGTCTGGCACATGCAAATAAATGATTCAGTGTTGCACAAGTCATAACTGACAAGAGCACTGAGTTGCAGCTGAATTTTTCTCCTTTCTGAACCGGGTTAGGGTGGTATTTTTGTGCCCTAAGATGCTTGTCATAACTTTGTGCGTTTCAGGCAAATCCATAAATAAGTAGAGATGACTGGGGGGGGTTGGGGAGTGTGTGTATAAAACATGGGAGAGGGGGATATGACTGCTGTGAAAACATGCTGGCATGTTTGTCATACTGTGGGGGATCAGCCTTAAACAAGCATTAATACTGATGAAGAGAGAAACTGGATTAGAAGTCAGGTGTTTTTTTTTTTTTTCTGATGTAAAACTTAACTGCTCCTGGCTTTTTAGGAGCAATTGGTTGGGAGACCTGGAGCTGGGATGCCAAGCCCTGCACTGAACAACAGGGTTGAGTTTTAAGGTCTCCTCCAACCCAACCCAGTCTGGGATTCTGTATGAATTAGTGGTTTCTTCACACGTTCCTCCTCTTTATCTCAGTGTTTTTTGGCATCAGTTGGCAGCTTTATAATATCCAAATGCTCTTGAGGACAGGCATCCTTGTCTTTTTGGGTCCCTATAAGGAGGAATGTGTCAGAGAATCTGAAGTGCTGTAAAATGATGTGTTCTGATGTGACCTTTGGGATACTTAAAAAAAAAAAAAAAGTTGTTTTCTCGAGTCAGTTGATGGGGTCTCTCAGTAGAATAAGTTACCCCCATCCACAGCCAGAGTATGTAGGATGTTCACTCTCACTGGACCCCACGTTGATGCTTCTCTGTTGTTCCTGGCAGTTAAAACTTTGGCACAAGTAGAATATAAAATGATGTTGATTTCCATACACACGGGACTTGAAAGCAATTTTTGATATGAGGGGCTGTTTCTTAGGGCTGCTTAGAATGAGGAAAGTGGAGCAGAGACTGTGCACTGATGTGTAACTTGTTCCTGCTGCCTCGGTCAGTTTGGCAATCCGGGGCCCATCAGCAGAGTTCATCCTGTCTCCAGGGATCTTATGTTCTGGACCTTTGGTGAGGGTCAAGTAAACATGTGAGAACAGAGTAGGCTTGGTTTGTTTTAAAGGGTGAAGCAAGTTCCCATCTCCTCCCCCAGAAACCCCGGTGTCCTCAGCACCGTGTGCCCTTTTATAGCAGCAGAAAATGCGAGTCTCCTCGTCTTCTGGCACGTGAGCACCTCCAGCAGGAAAACTCACGTGGTGTTGGGCTGCTTGCTGTGGCTTCTGCCTGGGTTTGAGAAACAAATGCCAGTGAACCAGCTCAGCAGAAAAACTCCTGTGAGCTTCAGGATCAGGTGCTGCTGGTGGTTGTCAGATGTTCCCGGGCAGGTGTTGGGCATAGATGGGTTGGGTTGGGTTGGGAGCTTCTTGGTAAAGTCAGGGACTTCAACACGTCCTGGTGGAGATGTGAGAGCCTCTTCCAGGGCCTAAAGGGGGCTCCAAGAGAGCTGGAGAGGGACTTGGGACAAGGGATGGAATGATAAGACAAGAGGGAATGGCTTCTCACTGCCAGAGGGCAGGGTTAGATGGGATATTGGGAAGGAATTCCTCCCTGTGAGGGTGGTGAAGGCCTGGGCTGGAATTCCCAGAGAAGCTGTGGCTGCCCCTGGATCCCTGGAGAAGCATCCAAGGCCAGGTTGGACAGGGCTTGGAGCAACCTGGGCTTAGTGGGAGGTGTCCCTGCCCGTGGCAGGGGGTGGGATGGGATGATATTTAAAGTCTCTTCCAGCCCCAACCGTGCTGTGCTGGTGGACATGCCAAGATGTGTCCGCCCACAGCCACACGGATCGTGTGGGCTTCGAGGTGAGTCCGTGGGAATCCCAGCGTGTGCTCTCCAGTATGAAAACTCCGTGATGTGTTTGTTTCCCAGTGAAGAGGTGCCAGGCTTCCCTCCCTGAAGCCTCTGTGTTCCCTGGTGTCCCTGCTCAGCACCTGAATCAGGGAGTGCTACGGACAGAGCCCGAGCTCCCATTGCCTTGGCACAGCTGGGACTGTTCCAGTTGTGTGGGCTTCTTTCTCCTCGAGGGCTGAGATGTTATTTCAGGGTCTTTGTGGGACGTACTGCCTTTCCCCAGGGATTAACGCACTGGGTTTTTGTTCCCTCTCTGTGTGTCCAGGGGATCGTGGGTAACCTGGCCAGTGGCAAGTCGGCGCTCGTGCACCGGTACCTGACGGGCACCTACGTGCAGGAGGAGTCCCCCGAAGGTACGTGCCCTGCACACCTCACCATCGCTCTGCCCCCACGTAAAGGCTGCATCTTGGATCCATTTTTTTTTAATCATGCGGAAATGAATCAGCAGAGAGTCCGATTTGCTGTTTCGGGATTCGGGGAGATTTCTCCGTTAGTTCTCCAGACTGAGCTCAGTGTGTGCACGATGATATGTGATTGGAGCTGTTCCATTAACTCCTGAGCATCCTTAAATGCTTTGGCCCCCCAGGATGTGTCCTTGTGGGAGGGAAGCTCAGTCCTGGTGGAGAGGAGCTGACTGCTCTCAGTGGGGCTGTTGAAAGCCACAGTCACTGTAGTAGAGGATTTCTGCAGAATTGGGGTTCGGGGAGAATGAAACAACTTCATGAGCTTAAACTAAAGATATAATTTGTTCATTGTTTAATATATTAAAGTATTTAGTCTTGACTTCTTTTTAATGTTCTGATTGCATAGCGTGTAGTGTTTAACATTAATCCAAAAGTATCACAGCACAGCACCTTATCGGGGTGTATCTTACAGTAAATACTTTTTTGATGATTTTTCTTTATCTGTTCTCCTTATGAACTTTTAAATCCAACTCTGAGACACTGAATTTCTGGTTCCTTCTTTCCCTTACTGGCTGTTCCATTCTTTGCAGATATGGATGCAGGTAACTATACATTGTCTCCATGGCAGCTCCCCTTTGGAAGGGACAGACGGCGGTTTCTGTGCTAGAGCATTTCTTCCTTGTTTTGTGTATCATTTTGAGTTGTTTCCTTTTGATTTCGAGTGTCTAGTACATCTCACTGTTTTTTGTCTCTTGCTGTAGTTGTCTCCTCAGCAGTAGTTTGTAGCTTCATGCATCTCTGATAACATTTGTTCCTAATTAACTCTTACCAAAGGAAGCTGTTCAGCTCCACAGATGACATTTTAACAGCCTGGAATTGTAGTTCAAGTGGGAGGAGAGGGAAAGGGAGGGATGGACAAGGCTTTTTTTTTTTTGTGTGGAATTGGAGCAATAGTGAAGGTTTCAGTTTCTAACTTTGCCTTAAATGCTTTTGCTGCTTTGTAGCTAGAACTGATAATGATAATTGATAGTGATTGATGATAATAAAGCTACGTGTAGATCCTGTTTCTGGATGCTGACAGTGGGAAATGGTGATGTGAGGGGCAGATCCACCGATTTGCAGCAACCCTTCAGCAAAAATCAGCATCCCAACATCTCTTCACGAGCAGAAAATATTTGGGGCTGTTTTCTCCTTGCAAGACTCTGACCTATTGGCTGTTGCCAGGGCTGGCAGCCCTCTCCTCCTGAAGGATGGATCTTCGAGGTGGTATTCCTTGGGAGCGTTGCCATCTGTCCTCTTTGTCTCGAAGGATTTTTATTTACAGTGACGTTCCCACTGTTTTTCCCTGGAAGGATTAGATGACAAAAGCGGCGTCAAATCATTTCTCTGCCACGCAAGTGTAGCTGACAGGCCTCACTAATGACACTGCTGCATTTCATTAACAGGAGGAAAACTGGAATAATTAAGAGCTCTAATTCGCCTTGTGTGAGGGAGAAGGTGAAGATTTCCAATCTAGTTAACACTGAAGGAGGTTCAACCCACAGAAACTACCCTTAGTAAATACCTGTAGTGGTGATTCGATAGATTTTTGTCATCCAAGCACAGTCCCACACAGCGTGCCAAGTGTCACCCTTTACATCAGAGACCCCTCATTTCTGAGGGATGATAAAGGTGCTGGGTTGTTCAGCTGATAAAGAAGGGGATGGATGTGGGACTGCTGAGGTGTCAGCTGCTTGATTAGGGGAGAAAACCCCAAGTGCTCTGACTGTGAGTGGCTTCCCAACAGCTCCATTTGTCAGGGGTCATGCAGTGAGTGCCCTGTGGGTAAGGGGATGGGTCTTGCTCCTCGTGCCAGTGGTGATGAGGACCAGGGACTGCTCTTTGTGCTCTCCTTTGCCTCCCTACGTGGCTCCAGTTGCCACGAAACCCTCCTGGAATCAGCCAGGTGCTGTGTGTCCTGGAGCCCTTGGAGGCAGCTGCAGCCTTCCAGTAAATTAATTTTATGTGGAGATGGTTTCAAGTTCCCTTCAGCTCTTTAAGGTGAGACATTTCACCAGCTCCTCTCCAAGAGGAGCACTCACCTTAGTGGGTAGAGGAGTTTTCTCTCCCTGTCTGGCCCGACTTTCATTTCTGTTCACAGCTCGTTTTAGTCCCCGGTGTGTTTGAAACATGAAAACCTTTGTTTTCTCCAAGTATAAGGTTTTTTTTAAGGAAGAAAATCTGCTTTTAGACTCTTCCTCTGCATACTTAGCATGCACATGGCTGTGCTGCTGCGTGACACATGTAAAATCAGATGGATTTGGATGTAAGGAAAGAAGTGATGTGTTAACCCTGCAGTGAGTGGCAATCTCAGCAGGCTGGGACTTCCAGTTTTTGGGTTTTTTTGATGGTACAACAAGGAAGCGATGGGAAATAGGGAATCCTGGTGACTTTTTTTTATCTTTTAAGTACCTTCCAAGTGATTGGAAGACAAACTCCTGCTGCTGGGTGTGTGAGAGGCTGAAACATCAGGTAAGGTGTGGGAAGAAGCCTGGTCTGTCTTCCTTTTCCCCCCAACTAAAACCGAATTCTACCTGTAGGAACAAAAATGTTGGGGGTGTGGAATTTGAGGCCGAGTTCTCTGCAGACCAAGGTGGGCTGAAATTTTACAGGAATAGGGAGTGCCAGGAGATCCTGTTACTCTTTGTTTCCAAAAAGCCACCGAGGTGTGAAACGTGACTTGAAGGCTTTTCTGCACCTCTGCTGTGTCTTAAGCCATATCATGATTATTTCAGCACCTTTTTTCCAGTGAGTATAATAAAAAAAAAAAAAGAAAGGGAAGATAAATTGTCCAAGGTGTCTCAGCTGGGATGAGGAAAAAGGAGGGTTTTTTTGTTTTTTTTCCTCCATGTACTTTATGGCATATTTAAGATTTATTTTTTTTTTTTTTCATGTGGAGTAAATAGGTTCTGTGTTTCCAAAGACATAAAACCCATCCAGCATCCTGACTCGAGGCAGCAAGTAGCTCTTGCAGTCAGACGTTTCATCTCCTGTGCGTGGAGGAACTTGTAATAAAAATGAAATTTTCCCCCAGTAAGAGCCACAGAATAAAACCTTTTAATGGTGTTCTGCAGAAAGCTGTGAGCATTTGCTTTCTCTCCAACTTTGACCTAAAAATAATTTTATACTATTGCAGCTTTCACCAAATAACTTTTTTCAGTAGCACAGTGAACAGGGTATCCCTTTGAATAGCAGGAATGGTCATGAAATGGTCATAAAATAGCAGGGATGGTCATGGTTATTGTTAAAATGCTGAACCAGGTGTCACCTTCAGCCTTCCCTTTGAAGAATGCGATGGAAGTATCACAAAGATAAGTTCCCAGCCTGTAACAAAAACATGTGCTAATGATCTTAAAGGTCTTTTTCCAACCTAAAGGATTCTGATTCTGTGTAGAAATTACATCTTGGGGGATGGATGTCCATGTTTTTCAATTTATTGTCTCTAGTAACTATTTCTGCCCCGTTCTTCCCCAGCAGAGGGTAATTATGCAAGGAGGATTGAGGCAGACTGCTTTAAAATTTCAGCTGCTTTCCTTCCCATCCTCTTAAGAGGTTTTGTCTGGTTACAGGCTCTTACACAATATCTGTGCAGAAAGTTCAAGCACAGTCTATTAACTGGGATGACCTGCCAGGTGGCTTCAGCCCGGTCTGAGGCTTCTTCCCTTGCTGGGGTGAATCCAAGAGTGGAGCTGCTTCTGGGAAAAAAAACAGAAAGAAAAACCAAGCCAGGCTGGATGGGGCTTGGAGCAACCTGGGATAGTGGAAGGTGTTCCTGCCCGTGGCAGGGGTTGAGATGGGATGGGCTTTAGGGGTCCCTTCTAAGCCAAACCCTTTGAGATTCTGGGACCCCATGAGGCGCTCACGCTTTTTGGTGTTTTGGGTTGAATAGAACGTGGGAGCTGCAGCAGAACTGCACAGTTTTCCCTTCTGTAGCTCTGACTCTTGTTCCCATCTCCCTGTGATTCATGTAATCCTTCCTGCTGGGAACAATTAGGTTCCTAAGGTTGCCAGTCTCTTGACAGAAGCCGCTAGCTATTTTTATCTAGTTAATATTTTTTTTTTCAAATAAGTAGGAAGGCCATATTTAGTATAAACACCCCAATTTGATCTCTGCTGAATAAAGAGAGGATGTGCCCCAGACTAATCTGTGCTCTCTGTTCTCAGCAAGCAGCTGGCTGAGATGCAAATGAAGAGCAGGGAAATGTGTCCCCCGAGGATGTCCTTAGGTGCTTGTCTTGGAAGCAGTCTTGCTTTTTCATCCACGCTTTTTTGGGATCCCAGAAGCTGACCATCACACACGTTTACACGCTCACATCATGCTTGTTTATGTGCCTGCACGGGGAGGTTTTTGCAGGAGTGCCAAGTGCACGGGAGTTCAGAAAAGCCACGTTAACCTTAAAACCACATTTTGAGGTTCTCGAGCCACAGGGAAGCTGAAATTTCGCACGTGGGTTTCGGTGTTTACAAAGCTTTTTGTTCACAGATCCTTTCAATGCTGCACCAAACTCCTGCTTGTGAAAAAAGCTCCAGCTTTGAGGCAGCTGGAGGTACCTGAGTAGTTCTGCTGTGTGTAAACCCACACGTGTGCAGGGGACAGGGACGACCCGACACTCCTGTTTCCAAATCCCCCGTTTCCAGTTCTTTGTCTTGCCTTCTTTTAAAGCAGCGTCGGCCGATTGTTTTCATTTGGCATTTCGTGCTGACACCCAGATATGAAACAGCACTTGTCTCTTTTTGATCCTTTTTAAAGTGCTGCTGCAGTGGGCTCTCCCGGGCTTTTGGAGCCTTTCAGGCTTAGCATAAAAGGCACAAAATGTTTATGTATTCTGCCCCCCTCCCCTCTGGAGCCCTTCCCTCTCCTCCTCCTCCTCCTCCTGGGACTGCCTGTGTGGGTTAGAGAAATCCTTTGAAAACCTCTCTGTTCCAGCCGTGGTGGAGTTGGTGACTGTTTCAAGTGCCACACAAATAAGGAACTCTGATAATTAAAGGAAGGAACTCGAGAATTTGCTCTTTTCCCGGGGAGAAGGTGCTGAAGAAGCATTTTCCTACGAGGGGCTTCCCTTTTTTCGGCTCTTTAAGGTGATGCCTTTAACGTGTGTTGCACCTTGAATACTCCAAGGTTGGGAATGAATGATGTCTGTAGGATTTGTGCCCTTCTCCTAAAAGGCTCCTTGGAATGTTGTGTCCCAGGTTCAGACTGTACTGCAGGTTTACAGCTGCTCTTATAGCAGTGCAAGTGGCTTCTCCCAAGTAACAACCGACAGGACAGGGGAAATGTCCTCAACCTGTGCCAGGGGAGGTTAAATTGGATATCAGGGGAAATTTCTTCACCCAAAGTGTTGTAAAGCATTGGAACTGTGAACAGGCTGCCCAGGGCAGGGGTGGAGTCACCATCCCTGGAAGTGTTCCAAAAACGTGGATGTGGCGCTTGGGGACGTGGTTTAGTGGTGGCTTTGGCACTGCTGGGTCAGTTGTGGATCTTAGAGGGCTTTTCCAGCCTTACTGAATCTGTGATTCCAGGATTCCAGCTCTCCGGTGCTCCCTGCTTTCTGCTGCTGAGTCA